CCCCAAAACCCCAAAACCCCAAAACCCCAAAACCCCTTCTGCAAGTTATGTTATTGATAAAGCCATAATTTGGTATGCTTATCTGGCTGGTATTCATAGGTACTTAAAACCATGGTTATTCTTGCTGTTCAAAGTCAATCCCAACAATATCTTCTAACTCTTCTACTCTTTGGGTTAACTCAAGTAATTTCTGGTTAAGTGATGTTCTGTATTTGCCTATCTTAACTAATTGCTCTGTTAGTCTGTAATTCTCCACTTTTTGTTTGTCATAATGCCTCTTGAACTCTTTAGCAATGTAGACACTATAGCTATCTAAATTCTGTACTCCATCAGCTATTTTCTTTTCAAGGACATGGCTAAGAGTTTCTTTTTCAAGTTTTAAGACCGCAATTTCATTATTTTTCTCTACTCACACGTTGGTTTACCTCAGATACTTCGTTTTCCAAGTGCTTTACCTTACCCATTAAGTTGGCAGTGTCTAGCTCGTTAAATAAGGAAGGAGCTCTTTGAGTAAATTCACCATGATTACTCATAGACATCCCTGTCTGATGAGGATGCTGACGAATTGTGCTATATGCTCTTCTGTTATACTGACTTAATGCTTGTGCATAGATCTATAGAGATAGTTTTTTAGAAGCCATGTTTTAGTAAGAGATTCAGAACTCACACTTTTGTTAGCTAATGTTCTTTCTTTATCAGTTTTCATTAATGGACTTCCTCTTCATAAAGGGTTAAATTTTTGAGGAGTTTGTATTCCATATGGCATTGCTTTCATTCCACTTATGCTCCTCTTTTTGCTTCCAATTCCTGGCAAGATTTTAGACTCTTTTATGTGCAATTTATTGAATTTATCTCCTGCATAAGAAGAATGTATTTTTGAGCCCATACTTAGACTTTGGCTTGCATGGTATCTATAAAATTTGGTTAACTTCAGTTCATATGTAAATAATCTTAATTTACTCATACAATTTCTAACAATAAAAATTATCTTATTCTTCTTCAATTTCACCCATCTAAAAACCATCTAGCTTAATTTCTTCCTCCTAAACCCCCAAAATTTATTATATCTTTCCTATCTCTCCATCTAATCATACTTTTACCAATTTACCTTCCATTATATCCCCTATTTGCTGTTCTATCTAAACTCCTTGATTCCATAAATAAAATATTAATTAACTCTAAAATTACTCCCAAAATGGGGTTTTGGGGTTTTGGGGTTTTGGGGTTTTGGGG